GATTTCAGCCAGCCAGATGTCTGCTAGCAGAGCGGCACGGCGGTTGGCAGACAGTCCAGGAGATGCCTAGAGTCGGTCGAGGACAACTTCCTGGTCCAGTTAACAGATGGACCAACCCGAGCTGAAGCCTGACTTGACTTGGTGCTCATCAATGCAGATGAGGGCATCAGAGTGGTTGAGATAGGAGGGGGCCTGCAGTGCCTGTGCCTTGGTGGAGTTTGTGACCTGGACAAATGCATGCCTGGCAAGAAGCAGAGTCAGGATCCTGAGCTTCAGGAGAGCAAACTTGTGTCTGCTCAAGGAACTGCTGAGTGGGATCCCCTGGGAAAGTGTTCTTAAGGGCATGGGCACAGAGCAGAGCTGGCAGCTCCTCAGGGCGCCCCTCAGAGAGCCCAACGGCTCTGCACCCCCCAGCAGAAGCAGTCGAGCAGGGGAGGCGGGCGGCTGACATGGCTGTGCAAGGACCTGCAGCTTACACTGAGGGAAAAGAGGGAAACGCACAGAAAGTGTAAGTAGGGATGTGTAGCCTGGGACGAATGCAGGGCTGTTGTGCGTGTGTGCAGAGATAGGATTAGGAAAGCCAAGGCGCAGAAGGAGCTGAACTCAGGGAGGGATGTGAAAGATAACAAGGAGGGGTTCTACAGGAACATGGGCAGGAGGAGACAGGCCAAGGAGAGTGTTCCCCTCTGGTGAAAGGGAATGGGTTCATTATGAGTCATTGGGAAGGCTGCAACACCTGCATCATTTCAAATGTCTTTTGTGTGTGTGTGTGTGTGTGTGTGTCTCAAATGAACTCTCAAAACTTAGGTGTTACTTTAGAAAGCTCTGCCTAATGACCCAGTGTCACTTTGAATATTCAGATTTGTATTCCCACCATTTGGTTTGCAAGAGCTAAAAACGCCATTAATAGGCTTCAGAAAGAGCTGGGGTGGTGACAAGGACAATGGCCTGGGTTACTGTTCTTGCAGCTGCCACAAGCTTCCCCTGCTCCAGCTGACAATGACTGATAGTCACATTGCACTGCCAGTACCTGTCTGTGTTAGGCTCAGTATTAGACACAACGTGCCTCAGCTGCTCTTACAAATTGGCTTCACGTGCCTGTAAGCAAAATGCATTCTCCCATCAACAGAGGACCACACAACTTCAGTTCAAATAGAATGTATCAGCTGTTATTAACTTATATGAAGTGCAAATATAACATATTCTTAATAATAATCTCAATACTCATACATAATCTTAATAGTCTATTCAAATATAACATAACTCTTGTTAACTTATACAAAGTTCAAATACCTATCTATCTCTATGTAAGCAAATTTCCCCTAATCAGCAGCTCCTTAGAAACTGCATCAACAATGAGCTGCTCAAAGATTTCCCTTCCAGCTGCTCAGTTCTGCAGGTGACTCAGTGGCAGCTTCTGTTGGCTGGAAGAGTCCCAACAACCGCAGCAACTCCTCTTGTTTTGCCACTGGATTCAGCCTGCCACCGGATTGCAACAGGAGGTCCTCCATGCCTGGCTTTCATTTTCTCCTCCTCATTCGCCTTGCTCCTATATACAGCCTTGGATGTTTTGCAGGCGGTTGTAGAAGAAGGTCGTCATCTTCCAAGCTCAGTTTTCTCTTTCGCATCAGCCTCACGGTCTCATCCAGCCTCGGACGTTTCCTTGGAGGTGAAAGAAGGACGTCATCAGCTGGGCTTAATTTTCTCTTTCGCCTTAGCCTCACAGTCTCATCCACCCTCTGACGTTTTGCAGGAGGCTCCCAGTTCAGATGGGACTTTGGTGCTTTTCTCTTGCTGGGGAGCTGAAGCACAGGCATCCTTCCCGTCTACCGGCACAACTCCCAATGGCCAGCAGGCCTGAACCGTTACTGCCTGTGTTGTGTTCTAAGAACCCATGACAATGGGCGGCGTGGTCTCCTGACATCATCACCTGCTGACTGTGACCTTCAGCACTTCTCAGAGCATCCCACCACCTGCTCCTCCACTCCAAACTCCAACAGCTTCTCTAGGAGGAGCCAATGGCTGACAGTGCTGCAAGTGCCCCTCAGGAGCAGGTAGACATAGCTGGGCACTGCTCTCTCCTGAGCCAGCAACCATTCTCCAGCGTGGCTCTCGAGCCAGCTCTCTCCACACTCTGGTGGGAACCTCATCATCAGAGCCCACAGCCTTCTCTCTGTCCTCTGTCTCAACTGGTGCCTGACACAGTGGTTGGAGTTTACTTGCCAAAGTTTTGCTGCAGGACTGTCCTCTGCGAGAAATGGTAGCTTAGGCAGAGGCAGTGCCGAAGAAAAGCAAAACGTGTGCCACGATACCTTCACACCCAGAGAGCACCACGTAACTACAGGCTGCACGAAACACAGCCTTCAAAATGGTGCCTAACAGCACCACAGCAGCACCTGGACGGAGCACAGGGCTGTAAATACTGCAGCGCTTTCATCTGGACAGGCACAGAACAAAACACTGAAAAGAAATCCAAAGCAGCAATATTCCTCTCATCTCCACTGCAGAAACTAGCATTAGAAATGCACAAGTAGTCTTCTCTTCTTTGCTTGAAACTGCAGGAATCCTTGAATGTCCCAATGAAGCAACTTGGAAAGTTCCCCTTTGCAGCATTAACGCAAGGAATCCTTGATTGCAACCATAAGGAGACCCACATTCCCAGCACATGGGAGATTTCCCACCAAACTTCCCTTGAGATACAAAGGATACAGCTCTGGGTGTATGTGGATTCACGTGAGAAAGTTCCTAGGCATTCTGTCAACCATTTCAAACACTTTACAACAAGGAAATAAATCAGTGACAGCACACCTCATGCCATATCTTTCCTCTTCCTATTGGTAGCAGAACACTGGCCCTTTCCTTCCTTGTTCCCTGCTCCAGGTCCTAACAGCTGTGCAACAACTGGGAAAAGCAAACAAAAGTGGCCCCCAGTATGTGCACAGTACACTTCAGAGAGCATCAGATTTTTCACACCAGTTAGGGCTGTTGAGCTAATAACCAGAACGATGGCTACTGCTGTGGGTGCGTATTTCCCTGATGTGGAAATACTTTCATGTTTGCTTACTGGATGCCCTTTTTAAGTTCAACTTGAGCAGAACCAAGGACCCATAACCTCCTTGCCACCACAGATCACCAAAGCACAGAAGGCAGAAAATTCAGCTACTGATAACAAATAGTGAATTGTTGAACTTTCTGTTCAGTTAATCCAAGAGTTCACATGAGAAACTCACCATAACCACTGCAGGAAAGTCCATCTAGCCCTTTCATTGTGAAGCACCATGCAGAAGCTCTGCTTAGTTACCACCTAAGTGCACTATTTCCTGAGGCACTTAGAAAAAGAGACTTCATCTTCTAAAGCAGACCTAAACACGCCACTCTAAACTTACAGCAGAGTGTTTCTTTTCTGCTTTTGAGTTTCTTTCCCAAAACAAACCTTAATCTCATTACAACTTCTTCCTTCCCCTCTTAAAGGACATAAAACAAAGTACAAAGCAGCTTGCTTTCATTACAGCAGATGCATAAGACAAATGCTAAGCAGTAACTATTTGCACATTCAAGCATTATTCTATACATCTAAAACCCGCTGAGCCACACATCGTCACTCTTACTTTTTCTTCTTTTCAATCACTGGAAAGAAGCCTTCTCAAGGCCTTTCCACTCCACGTTAACACACTATGCAAAGTCCAGCCCAAGACAAGTACTCTGTAGAAGCATTTTCTGAGGCCTTCCACAGTCACAGCCGCAGTTTGTCAGTTTCTCTTTCCTGTAGCTTTCCTCAGCTCAATAATTTTACTGCTTTGTGGTATTAAATAATTGTGACTTGTTTTCTTTCCCATTTTTTTTCTTCCCTCCGTTGCATTTCCATCTGTTGAATTAATTTCTTGTTAATTCTCTCACAGAGAAATCATAGACATCTGCTCACGACCAGTACAAGCATTTCTCTGGCAGAGATGGTGGACGTGATGTAGTATCATGGTAGATATTCTTGCCACATTCTGCAAAATAAATCTTACGTTGCCAAATCAAGCGGTGCAGACACATTCCTAAGATGCATCAAGTCATTACAGCTTTCTAACATATCACAGTTTTTTTGAGTGGAATTTAGTTTGAAAAGCTACCAAGTCTTTACCAATCTACTCTGAGCTCCCCCTGGACAGCATGGCGTTCTTCCAGAGAAAGGAAAGAAGGTTTGGGGACTCTTCCCTCAGTTCAGAGGGAAATATTTGCTGAAATATGTAGGACAGTTTCCATCACAGTATCAGAAGTGGTGTCAGCTGTCAGGATGTGCTTCAATCAAAGTCCACAAAAAACCCAGAGATGCTGTACTTCAGATCCAACCACGCTATCCCTACTTCATTTCCAAGACATGCTGCATATACTGCAATACTATTCTATACAGTCTGATATTTTCAAAACACACACTTTTGACAGAAAAATGCAGAACATTTCATGTTTGCTGACATCAGTATCAGCTACATCAACATTGAGCAGCAGTTACCCAGCCTAGACACAAGGATGAACCGAAACATGCCAGTTGATACTGCTAGTAAAGCAGTGATGAAAACAAGATCTATTCTAACATGCCTGTAAAGCAAGGAGTGGATGAAAGCTTGAGAGTCCAATTCAGCACCAAAATATACAGCAGTCCTCTTCTGGAGTCATACAGCATGACACTCCAATTATTGATAGCTCTTAACAGCCCTAAGAAAACAGTTACTAAAACATTTAAGACCTTCACTAACGCATGGAGACCAGGTGAGAAGCCTAAACACAATTCAACCATTCTGTGCCTGTAATACTTCAGTTATTTACAAGAACCAAATTTCACAAATAATGTTTAGTGTTACTGAATTCTTGGATGCCTTATAGAACTACCAATTCACAATTTATCAGCGTTCTTTCAGTTTTGTCTCAATGGCAGTTCATATGCTTTCCTCCACAGACACATGCTTTCCTCACATGTTTTTCAGAGAACATTTTAGTTATGTATTAATTCCTACCTGATCTGCTTGCCTTCTCGAACATCATATAAAGAAAAAAAGACATCAGTGTCTTCTCCAATTGTATTGTAGGTGAAACTCTTCAGACTGAGGAAGAAGTGATGAGGCACTGGCATACGGCAAGCGTCTCCGTGACGCTGGCGAATTGTATCCACCTGATTAAACAATGGAAGCCATTTGTCACAAATAAAGGCCATACGACTGACATATGATATGAATGATAATTTCAACTCAAACTCTGCTCTCTTTTCTCCATCAAATAAAGCTTAATCTCAAATATACCCCATTTTCAAGACAGATCACAAAGTTTTTATCCTATTTTTTACAATGGATGAACTTCCACTCAAGTATTTAAGAGTAATGTTTAAATTGTTGTGTGTTTTTTTTTTTTTAGCACCTGCAAGTCACTTATGGAGATCATTTAGAACCAGACTTCAGAAGCTAACTGCCCTGCAGATAATAAGAAAGAAATCCCGATGTTGGTTGGTAACATGAGCAATCTATAAAGTGAAACAGCAGAAAGATTTGTGTTTTATAGTATACCAAGACCTATTTACAACAGTGAAAACTGTAGTGAAGAAGATAATCACAAACAATTTTTCTTTTATTTTCATAGCACTTTATTTCTGTTGCAGCTTCATTTAACAAATATGATGCATGTCAGACTTTAGCACACTAGGCTCAATCTCCTCTGAATATGCAGACACTAACAAAGTCAGTCTTTATATTTTCATAGTTTCAACTCAGATTTGTAGTAGCTTTCAAAATGCAGCTTCAAACAATTTTTGTTCTGGATTCTGAATTAAATCCAACTAAATCCTCATCTTTAAAGATTTGTACCTGTGCAAGCACAGCTCTCTAGGAAATATTAACTCCAGATTTCATGACCAAGAAAGGATTACATTACTACAGAAAGGGTATATAAAATAAAAGCCTCTGAGGTTATGTGTTAGCAGGTAGAAAGAAAACTCACATGGACAGACTGAGGCTTATGATCTCACTAGGGAACTTGTTCTCTTAAGAAAAACAGAAAGCTGAGGAAAAGAGCCTAAGCAGATGTTGAAGGACCTGTAGAAGAAGCAAGCTACTTTCAAGGCTATTTTGAGGAACTTGGGTACCCAATGATCTCCATCAAACACAAATATGCAGATACGTTATTAAAGACAAACAGCAAAAATTGTTATGTAAATGATGTTTACCTGTGACGTGCTTTGCTGGACGCTGTGTCTACTTGACAAATGCTGTGGAGAAACAGAATAGTAAAAGTGAAACCCTTCTGAACATGAGAAACTGCTGAAACTACATTTGTGTTGCATTAAAAGAGTATTCTGTAAATACAATTGCTCAAGATTGTTACCAAACATCATGACTCACAAAGCCACTAGCTTGCCTTAAAAGCTTTCTCCAAATAAGTCATTTATTAGATTAACTAATCAAACTTACAGGCTGTATGTACCTAAAGGTTGAACATAAATGGCTGTCACAAGTTAGACAGAATTTCCATGGCTGCAATATTACTTCTCGAGAAGTCCATCACCCTGTACTGTGTAACCTGCATTTCCGTTTAAATGAGTGAACACCTCACTTAATACTCATTTATCAGTATGCTGGTCCACAAGAAGCTGCATTTGTTAATAAATAAATAAAATAAAATGAAAAAGGAACAATACTGACTTCTAGAAAGAAACAATACTGACTTCTAGAAAGAATTTTATACATATATTTTAAAACTTTTTGCTCAGATCAGGAAATGAGATCCTGAAAAATAGGTAAGAACTCTTCTGCAATTTCAGCTGTCCAACACCTGTACAAAAGAATCCATGCAGAGCTACAGCTGTGCAACGGAACTCAGAGGATGATCCTGTATTTAAAGCCCTTCATACTAAAAGGAAATGCTATAATCAGAAAATGGACTGCAAGTCTCACTGAACCCATTTAATCTCCAAATGGAGATTTAAATACTAATCTAAATTGAAAAGGTTTCAGAGAGCTTTAAAAACCATATAATTAATGATTCTGCCATGCCTGTTCCACACAAATTCATCCTACCATAAGTACTTCACACTGAAACATTAACACATCTTCTCCTTGTTCTCCCCCACCTCTACCCTTCTATTTCATACCAAATATCTTACTCTGAACAAACACTCTCTAGCAGGACCAGCGGGATCTGATAACCTCGCAGCTTTAAGAGAGATGAAAGTAAAAGACATTCCACCAACTGTATTCAGCAACATTGTCCCCAAACAAATCAAATGCACAACATTTTTAAATGAAAATTTTACCAAGGGAAATAATAACTTTGTGTATGATACTTCAACTTCTTGCCACAGATGGGAAAGCCTAGAGTTACTTCATCCATTTTCCTGCTATGAGACTTTTTCCTCTGGTACATTTAATGCTCTGTAATTCTGTGAAAATGCAAAAGTAATTGGGCTCTCACAACTATTCTCACAAGATTATTTTGCAGTGTTAAACCTCACAGCTGATTTGATAATCTGTTAAGTATTCTATCATGAGTATAGAGGATTCTTTCCATGAGGAAAAAAAAATACAATAAAAAGCAGTTTTAAAAATCTTCAGTTGCTACAAAACTGAAGTTAAGCAAATAAAAGGTGTTCAGCTGTTTTGGTTCCTGAAATTACATTCTGTCCACTCAGTAGATGTAATTACAATGCTGTCTACCTGACTCTACAAACTGAAGCCATGGTGAAATGTGAACTGACTAATGGTCATGTCCTGAATAGCAGCACAGATCTGAGCCAAAAACTGCGAGAAGGAAAACTCTCCAGTAATAGCTGCATAGTCTCCTCAGTCTACAGCAAATCAGGAACAAACTTAAACATCAGTACCGTAGATCAGCATATTTTGTCCTTTATTATGTAGAAGAATTGAACTTCTTTACACAAAATGCATTGTTATATTATATAATTAATCCAAAAGAACATTCCTATTAAGGGACACCGCATACGTTTCTAAGGGACACTGCCACATCACAGAGATAGCTTTAATGTTCAGCAATTAGTTTTGCTTAAAGAAAGTTATTCAGCATCCTCCTTCCTGCCTGTGAGCTTAAAAATCTTTGAAAAGGAGCAAGTGTGCTTATTATCCATGCACATCCTAGGAGCAGAGTTTTCACTTCAATTTTTATCCCTATCTGCAGACTCCCCAGAAAGAATCAAACAATGGCTCTCATGGGCTTTCTGAACTCACCCAACTGCTGATCAACTCCAGGTTTGAGATGTTTTAATTAATGGAAGTAAGGACAAACAACACTAGATCTTGCAGTGAGGAACATTCCTATTTCTCCTAGCAAGTTAGTAACTGTTGTTTGAAGTAATGATTTAGTAACCCTAAAGCATATTTCTTTACTGTTAAGATTTCTTTACTGTATGTCAATAAAGCTTGCGGGGTCATCTGTCTGGTTCACTTCCAGATGAACAGACCTCCGCAAGATACCACCACAATTTAACTGTGGAGCTCCCAAGACTTTGCATTTCCCACCAGACAGAATTCAACAGTGTACCTGCCAAAGGCAGCTGTTGAATTGCATCAAAAAACAAAAAGGTTACTATATTATTTCAGTCAAGAAAATTCATAAATATACTTATTTTTCCCCTTCTTTCCCTCCCAGTATGAATGCTCAAAGGCATGTCCCACAGATTTCGTACCATTTTATAAAGATCTGACACACTGATCTGATCGGAATCCACAACTTCGAAGTCTTTTCGAGGAACTAAATCTAGGCCCAAATGTCTGCAGAAGAAAAAAAAGAACAGTGGTAAGCACAGTACACTGTGCTGGTAAGCATAGTACATTGTGTCTACAATTATCAGCCACGTTTACTTGCTCAAGGACATGGAGAAAAGAACTACGATATTGTATTTGAACCTTTTTGCAATAGTTAATAATCATCAAACAGACAATCTTTTAAAATAAATTTAGATCTAAATATCAAGCCAAAAAGTGCTCTGAGCTTGTTATGTTTTGTTCACTGATCTCAGAGGAGCTCTAATAGTGAATGTTAGTTGAAGATTTTTAGTATGTTGGTGCAGTATGGTCATTTCCTACACAGTAATACAGTAGGCAAATAAGTTTAGTACAATCAATAGGCAAAGAAATTTAGTATAAATAGTGCAGTATTCAGGTCAGGTTCTTCACTATGTAATGCAAAACTTTCCCATCAGTAACCCTGATATTCGCTTTGGGAAGCTCCTTTGAAAGGAACTCCTGGTCCTCATGTAACTGAACTCCCAACTTTATCACTGTATAAGAATACTTTTCCTAAAAAACCGTAACTACAAAAATATTAACAGGAATTTTAACCTAAATTAAAACAGGATTTCAGCTCAAATCAAAACCAAACTATGAAAAATATAGAAGACTACCAGTCTAAAAATGATGGCTACAGCAGAGATTTTTTTTTGCTCTACAGTTGCTCAGTTTCTGAGGCACAAGGCAATCACACAACTACAGGACGAAGCAGTTATGCACATTAGGAGTAAAATTCAAGAAACACATAAATGAACCATTTCCCTGCTTCCAGCTTACATAACTTTGATATTCCACTTGCACATGTTTTAAATTGAAATTCTTCCTAGTCTCAAAGAACAAAAAAAGTCAGCAGAGGTGTCCTCATGGAGCACCCTTCCACTCCTGCCACCAACTAGACAACAAAAGCGAAATCCTATTTAGTTTTGTAATCGGAGAAGCATTCTGCACAACATTTATCTGATGGCAAATATGAATTTTTATTTGAGAAATCCTCTCTCAGGTACCACAGAATAGTTTTGTATGGTATGATAAACAGAAGCCTCCAGGCAATCCAGCATCTCTTCCTGAGCAATTAACTTAAGACATTTGCAAGGAAGAGGCAGTAATTTGAAAGAAGCCTAGTTGCCTTCACTGGCCACTGTACTTCTTAATAATTTCCCTTAAGTTTCCCAACCCCTGATTTTTAAAATTAATTGATTTATTCAAACTCCACTTAATCAGGCTTTCTTTGCTTAATGTTATCCTAAGCTCATCCCATCTCCTCTCGAGAGCACAGCTCAGCCCATGCTCACTTACTGGCAAACAACTGCTTGGCAGTACTGAGATTAGCACAAAAATACTGTACAGATAAGTGAGAACTTCTGCATTCTTTGCCAAAACAATTACATTTTCAGTGGGGGAAAAAAGGAACCATTTTTTTCTTCAACGCAATTTTCATGCCAAAAACTAGTTTCTATACTCTGGGGCTCATATGTGAGAATAGCAGTTACGCACTTCTCATAGTTTTCATTAAACCCAGACAGCATCTGAAAATTGCTGCTGTAAGGAGGAAAATTACTGTGTTTAATTACCAAACAAAAAAGATCAAGAATGCATCAAGTAATTCTCAACTGCAGCTACCATTGGAGCCTACTTATAACACAAAGTCAAAAAATAGCACTGAAAAAAAGGGAACAGGTAAAAATAGTAATAAGCATAGAGTGGATTCTGAAACATTTCAAGTGATCATCCTGTTAATTTACAGGAAACTTCCTAAATCTGCATAGGTAACCCCTCCGCTAAAGAGCCCATCACATGTGTGTACAAACACATGCATACAGTGTGCATGAAGTGCTTTCTCCTGAATATGAGGATAGCAACAAATGATTTTCTAATAATGTGATCACCATCACAGAATCCTGCCTTCCAGTTCTACGTACAACAATACAAAGAACTATCAAAACTTTACGGAATAAAACTGCCAAATCTAATCATAGCCCGATACTGTTCTCATGTCAAAATTGCAACTCTCTAGAGCACTAAAAATAACTGTTTGAACTCATTACTCACACGACGAAGTTGATTTCTATTTGATAATGTTCAACACAGCTGCACAGTATCCCTGTGAAATTTACCTGATACCCTATTTTTAGTTAAATCCCTCAACACAGTGGATCTCCAACCCAGAAGATTCTCATTCTCTAAAATTACGCTAATCTTGTGCAGTATTTGTTCCCAAAAGATAAAGGTTCCTTTTGCTTCAGAACTCATATTGTGTGTGGTCAAGTCCAGGTTTATGAATTTAATCCTTTTTTTTTTTTTTTTCCCAACAAAAGATGACAACATTATGTTTGAAACGACAATGACGGTTAGTGGCCCACTTCCACTCTGTATTATAAAATACTGTGGGGATACAAGAGCACCAGCTGTCAAGTGGTGTTTCAGCAAAACATATCATGCATAAAAATGAGGTAACCTGCTGGTTTGTCTCTCTGACAGTTCTTCTTTCCGCAGCACTTTCTTTTACAAGCACTTACAGCATTTTGCTGTGGTTTTTACTGTGCCCGCAGACTCCACTGACTTTCAAAAATGTTTCCCCAGTTCCCCTACAAAAGACTCCCAGCCCAGCAGCTATCTCTTGCTAACACATGCCTGGGGCCAGTTCTACTGACATTGAGAAATTCCCTCTCTTCCACAGCGCAGTCATTAGAACTTAAGGCTTAATTTTGCCTTCTTTGGCTGGGGAATGAATTTCTGTGCTTTTCTCTCCAATAGCACCAAGACAAACTGATGACCACTGTCAGCACTTGTAAGACTGACAGGGATGCACATATGATTCACTACAATTCGCTTAGTTGGCCTTCTGGAGAAAATCAACTTGGTTTAAGTTTGATTTGATTTCACAGAACGGTCTTAAATTAGAATACATTCATAAATGTACAATACGAATGCCAGACTATTTTGAATTAATAAACACACAAGTTGCAGCAATTCTGTCTTGAAGAACCTTGCAAAAATACTGTTATTTGACTAAAAGGTGTGTTTGGAGGCACATGGAGTCTTAAGAACAGACTAGGAGAACATCTCCTCCTATAGCTCCAAAACCAGGTGTTTTACCCTGACCCCACCCATAACTTTGCAGCCAGGCATTTTCATTGTATTCCTTCTCTATGTTCAAGTCTCAATATCACTCATATTCCTCTAACAAAAGTACACTTAAAGATGGTGAAGGGAACAGAAATGGCTCTGAAAGCTGTTTACAGACATCACACACAGATCTGAAATAAAACCGACAGAAATAAAAAAATAAACTACAAGGGCTTCAGTCTGTAAAGAAATTAGTAAAACACTGATGTAATGTTACACAGGAAACTATTTCTTAAAATGAAGATGAGAAGTAATAGAAAGTAAGTAATGCCAGCAAGAAATTGATAGAAGGAAATGGCAGCAAATACATCTGAGCATGGAAGCATCAGAATACAGAGGGAGGTAGGAGGTTTTCCTCAAAGATGATATCCAGGAGAGTTCCTCACAGCCTGAATCCCTTCTCAACATTACGTTATTACCAGGACATTCAGGAGGAGAGATAAATATTGCATATTCAGACAGAAATGGCAGCTATTCGTTCTGAAACCTTCTTAAAGGCTTTTTGCTATGGTGAATGGCTTCATACTACAGCAATTAACATACTACAGCAATTAATTCTACAGCAGAAGCAGAGCATTCCCTTTCAAACTAAGTCTGCAAGGCAGATTCCTTTCTCTGCTCTTGGTGCAAATGAGTGTAAAATGACAATGACTCTTCTTAGAAAGAAAGTTCCATTCTGATTTATCATCCTGCACATCAGTAAAAGTTGGAAATCTTACCCATTTTTTAACTTAAAATAAACAAAACACATATCAAAAACACGTTTATATTTTACTTGTAATATAATTTAAAATTAGACAGTGAACTGCAGATATTATCTCTATAACATGATCTAAAATAGGATAAGGAATTGAATCGTAGGGGTCAGCTTTTATATACTTGTTTGACATACAAGTTTGCTGCAATATAATTTTTTCCCTATTGATTTCAGGCCATTGAGCTTTCCTAATTGCATTTCAGACTTCAAATGATCAGTGCCCAAATAAATCACATCAGAGTGAAGAATTTAAAAAAGAATAGTCTTTCTAATATTCTGTACAAAAGCTAATAACAGATGCGGGCAAAACACTGTTTGAGATTTCACCTGTGCAAAGATACACAGAAGGATGCTTCAGGTCTCATGTTTAGAAGCACTAAGATGCTGATCAGAAAGCGCTCTTCTGATTATTTGGGAAATAAAAGAAAAGCTATACAGTAGTACTATCAGCCACTGCATGCATATAAAAAGAACCTAACTGAGGATAACTGGAAGAGGAAAAAGCATAAAAAAAGATGTACCATAGTTTCGTAGTGTAGTTCTGTTACTGAATGCATCAGTAACAGAAGATTAAGTCACCACAGTAAGCAGAATCAGTACTGCATTATAAGAATGATGAGCATCTATAGAGAAGGTTAGCAACCTATTTTTGATTGAATTATATTCCTTCATTTTTAAGAGACCAAACAACCAAGTAAGCTTCCTTAATATTTTACATTAAGCATACAGAAATAAGAGAAAATTCACTGCAGTACTTCCAAAATCAGCCCAAATTAATACAGCCCAGGTAAGTTCTTCACACAAGAAAACCCATCCAGGGAGGGCATTTCTTTCTTGAAACCTGCCAATTCCCACAGCACCACAAGGGATGACCATCAGAACTGCTGCCACGTTGAACAAAAACAAGTCCGGTTCAAAAACCAAACAGATCAGTCCTAACTCACAGTGACTGAAAATGGGAATTTCAGGTTTGCACCACTTCCTCCCAGTTAATGCAATGCATTAATAAACAAGGTCAGGATAAAGGCAGCTTTAGGCTGAATAACACGCTACATACTAGTGTAAAATTTCTGAAAGCTACTTGGTCATGGAATGTCTCTTATTAAACCATACTACTATGAACAATTACAGACCTGCTCAAATTGTAGTATTTAAGTTTCTCAGTAATACTAACATGTTTGCAATGACATTTTTCGTTTAATTGCATATCTCAAATACGACAGAACTCTTCTGTCACTGTTTGAAAAACAGCACTATGTGAACACGCATACAAAAAAAACCAGTGTTTTTAACAAATTAAGACACTAGGACATGAATTTCACGATAAAATTCGAAGGGAAGATACAAGAAAACCCTGATGACCTTCTACAATTCCATTTATATTTAAATATCTCATTGCATATGGATGTAATTAAATATCTTTTCAGTCACACAGATTCCAGTGTGTGGAACATCCAGTTCCTTTACTGATGCACTCTTCTGTTTCAGCATGCATCTCTGACACTATCTACGTTTTTTGTTAGAGAGGACAGTATCTTATTAATTACAATTAATTAATTAGGATTACAATATCTTATAATAAAAATACACATTACATTCTTCTTCTTACATGTGAAATGAATTTAATCACAAACACGTTTTTATCTACTAATTTACATGATGTTTTCCACAGTTGTCAGGCATTGGATGTGCCTTTATGGTTTTAATGTACCTCGTATTTCATGATTTTACATCCAGTGCATTTAAAATAAAAGCTTTCTAAAGGCAATCGTTCAGCAGCCTGTCTACTCTCCTCATATTTTCTTCTTACAACTTTTTTGCTACTTCCAGTTGCTAACTTCATCCATACATACTTTGAGGAAAAAATGTCCAGACAATATTCAAACACAGTTTCTTTGTTCCCATTTAATCCAGCAGGAATGATAATGGAAAATATCTGTAGGTCTGAATAGCAGACCAATGACTTGATGACACCTCTTGTGTTAAGCCCTTCAGAGCTTTTTTTCACTAGAAGTGAAATGTAGTGTGGGGGCTAGCAAAAATGTCCTCATAGTGCATATCTTTCAGAGGGAGTATGTGACTAAGGAGTCATAAAAAAAAGATATGTTCGTGAAAAACATTTTGCTTTTTTCCTTAGTTAGACTTCAGCTAATTCATTTCTCCCTGTCCACCCCCCACTGCTCATATTTTAATTAGCACTAATCCTACCCCTAGCTGAAAAGCAGTTGCTACATGCTTGAGGAGGGTGGTATTTACTCTGAAAAGTTCATGTGAATGTCAAGCAGAACTTACCTGTCTGATAGACTGTACCTCAAAAGAAAGCCAGCTCTGCTGATGGGCTAGGTTTTGTGTAACTGCACCATTTCAGCTTCTACCTGAATTGCAGTATTCAATAGCTTCTGAAAAAATATCCACCAAGTCACAGTGGAATTTACCAACGAATCTAAAGCTCTAACAAGTTTCATCAGCAAGTACATGGATGATACTAAAAATCTTCATATCACAGTCTCAGTTTCAGTGTAATTGTTACCAGTCAGATTCTGTAGTTATCATGCCAACCATTTAAATACTTACTGAGTGGAAAAAAATGGGGTTTAGTATCTATGAACACACGTTCCCAGGCATAATATTCACTACAGCGATACAAATAAAGTAAATTGACCGAAATCACTTAGAAGTGCATATAAAAGACCTACAAGTAGTAAGCACTACTTGGCTCATCTGTTAATAGCAGCAGCAGATTTATGCAGTAAACTCGCTGTAAGAAGTGGTATATGACTTCCAAACAAGCAAATGTTCTGCTTATAGATGCTATTGGAAAGAAAAGTTTTGCTTTTTTTTTTTGTTTTAAATTAAAGCTACGTGAAAATAATTAAAATAAACAGTACCCAGCTGGTACCTGTACTTACTCATTGCCCCAGTCCAGTCTCACTGTGAGGTGCCTCTTCACCTCTCGCACCTGATCCTGCGTCAAGTGACCTGACAGCAGCTGTCTGCGCAGGTCAATGAGTTCATTCATCACATGGCGCAGTTTGTAGAAAAGATCTACCTTATGTTTCTGTAAAGGCATATTTTTGGGAGGGGAAAGGGAAAAGAAGGAGAGAAGAAAAAAAACAAAAAGTGAAAGAGAAAAGACAGTAAGTTTGGAAAGAGGAGAAAAAAAAAAGAAGGGAAGCAAAAGAAAATGGGTGGGGAGAGAAGAAAAGGGCAAGGAAGAGAAAAAAAAGATAGGGAGAGAATTTGGAAAAAGAAAGAGCAAGAGGGGGGAGAGAAGACAGATTAAGACAGAGGAAACAGAAAGAGAGAGATTAATAAGTTTCCAAATTTACATTTAATTACCCTAGAGGAATATTAATCCACTTTGTACAAGCTTTAAAATACTTATATGAAAAAGCAGTGTTACTGATGCTATTTAAATTGAATAACTTATTTCTACATTTTGGGCTCAATTTGCTAAGGGATCCATGTTCTGGTGGAACCTCATGCCATAGCTCAAACAATTCATTATGTGCAACACGGATCACTAGTTCCAATCAGCTCATAAATACAGAGCGGAGAAAATGTCTGCTCTCAGTCAGCAGTTAATGTAGTGCTCTAACCTGTTAGCAACGATGATTGACCACACTGGAAAAGCACTTTTAATATTTTAAATATTCTACTTACTGAAAATCACCCAGGTTTCTATGATAAGTGGTAGTGGGAAAATGAATATTCACTGTATGCACTCTGAAAGGGACTAAAACAATCACTCATAAAATCTACCTAAAAAACAATTTTCAAAGAGGAGAACTACCACATAGGGTTAAAAAAAATTAAAAAGAAAAAGAAAAGAAAACACAAACCACATTATTACTAGCAAAAATCTTCTAAGCAACCAACTTTGCAATCATTTCCAACTGAACTGGTACTCTTCAGGGATGGGAAAAAGGTAGAACAGGAAATGTTTGTTCTGTGCAGGAATTCACTACAGGGGAAGACCCCTCCAAAGAGGCAACTCCAAAGAGCAAAGACCACCTATAAGCACTCACAGCATAGGAAGGGTGTCTCTGCTACTCCCATTATCTGCCAGATGAGAACTGTGCGTCAAAAGGCTCTCCTCTACAGAGCCACACTGCATAAAATAGCTGCTGTCTAACTAATGAAGAACCAAAGAAGGAAACTGATCACTTACTGCAGCTGAATTTTCACTGTTTGTTTTTTTAAACAACTCAATTCCATTCGTACCTGTAAGCAAAGCTTGAAACCTAAGGATACCACTTGGGGAAAACACAGGGACAAAACGGGGACTTTGCAGATTAGTGGCATTCTGATGGCATTCCTGGTTGCAGTGTAGTGTTTTGTAAAACACTCAGAATGAATGTAAGTTCATTTATCTCTGATAGATCTGACAGAGGAAATGCACAAAGTCTTTTCTATTACAAAATACTATTGCAAAAAAAACGTTCTTCGTGTATCTAACGAAAAATAAGTAACAGGAGATGAAAAAAAAATTGCCATCTACTTGAATTTGTTTCCCAACAAGATCACAAATCTTGTATGACTTCCAGAAACAAATTTCAGTACATTCAGTTTTGGGCAGAAATATATTAATTTTTCTGAGCCTGATTAAATATCTGCATTGCTGAATTAGGTTGAGCACAGACAGGATTATCTGGAGTTCTTAATCAATTTTGAGAAGAAATGATGCATAACCTTTCAACGACACTTCAGCATTGATTTAGCCCCTTCTGAAAGATCTGAGATGCAGACACCAACAGAAAGAAACATCCCCAAAGTTGGAAATACTTATTCAGAGAAGATAACTACGTATAGCTGGTAGGTATAAAATAACCAAAACTGTGTTTGGGTTTTCTCATTAAATGTGATGCAAAGTAAATCATAGACAAGCTGATAAAGACAGCAGATGTAAGGAAGCTTGTTTTTATATTATATTCATGCAAAACAAAGTTGCAACTTTTTCTGATGCAAAATGAAGACAAGCAAATTTACTATATACTGTCTATAACGAGTTGCTGATTAAATGATCATGAGAATCAGCTCCAAAATCATCATATAAAGACTTCTCAAAGAAACCTACTGAGATGAAAAAGTTATACCCTCACTCTTACATTGATGGTTCAAGGTTATCATTAATTGAAGCCCAGAATGCCATGCTGGTTAAATCACAGTATGTTCAAAAGTTCTTTCCTGCAGTATCTCAAGCAGTTACTTCAATCCCAGATAAACAGGAGATGAGATTGTAAACCACAGTTTTGTAAAAGCAAGTCATATTAGGTCCCTACATAAGTCTGAAAAAGCTTCTGTACCCTGAGCAGGACAGGGGGAAAAGGGGACTGCAGCCAGTCTGCAGCTGCACCATTCTGCTCTTTTTCTTTTCCCATTTCTCCCTGGGCCACCCCACAGGCTGCAGCCCATCAGGACCACCCTCTCCGTCATCATCTGTCAAGAGCACTGCTCCACAGGGTTGTCCTTTTGTGCCGAAGGACAATCTCCCCTCAGGCCCTGGGAGCATCATTTCAGCGCTCTCCAACCTTGTCCTCTAACAATTCTGGTGTTTCCAGGGCTATTTCACACTCTCCTTTCCTCATCCTCACTGCCTTGCAGCAGATTTCCTGCAGAGTCAGCACTGACAGCCTAGCCCTGCCCCGAGGCCTGGCCACTGTGGAACCACCTGGATCCTGCGCCTGGCCCAGGCAGCACCCACATAGAAACCTGGGAACCCAGCACAGGAGTCTGACTTCATTAAGGAGCTGGTGACACAACACGGGCTCTTCCAATGACACACACACACAGCAGGCATTTTACTCAACATGCCTCAGAAGGATTCTAAAATCACAAGCTGAAGGACAAAGCTGCTTGACACCTCAGCACAACAACAAGAGCACCGCTTCACAGCTGCAGTGGCTTTGAAACACTGATGCTGCCTTTGTCATTTTTCTCCTAAACGAAAAGCACATAACATTAAAATACAAAAGCCTGGTGATGTATTAACTGAATCACAGCAGGGTTGGGTTGGAAAGGACCCCCAGGCCCATCCCTGCCATGGTCTGGCTGCCCCCAGCTCGGGCTGCCCGGGGCCCCTGCATGGCCTCCAGGGATGGCACCCACAGCTCTGGGCAGCACTGCCAGCACCTCACTGACCTCTGAGCAAAGAGCTTCTCCTTTATGTCTAATCCAAATCTCCCCTCTTTCATGAAGACATTGCACCTTGTCCTATCAGCACTCTCCCCTGACAAGCAGCTCCTCTCCAGCTTTCCTGTAGTCCCTTTAGGTATTGGAAGGTCTCCCTGAAGCCTTCTGTTCTTCAGGCTGAACAACCCCATAGGAAAGGCACTCCGGTCCACTGATCACCCTCTTGGTCAGATGACCAAAACCATAATCATTCTGTTACCACAATTCATGTAACACTATTGTAAAAATATTGGAATTTCAAGAACTGTTCCCGAGGACTCCAATTACACAATTCTGTTGGGCTATAATAGGGGAGAGGGACAAAAAAACACGATGTTTGTTATGAGAGCATGTGAGCAGACATTTCCCAGGTTGCCTCTTATGGACTTCAGTATCTCAGAAACTAAAGCCTGCAAGCATCATCAGCAGTTGAGAAGACACAGTAAATCTCAAAAGAACACAAAAGACTTTCCAGTTTCCTCTGGATTTTTCAATAAAGCAGATTAATGCACATTAAAGTTCTCGTGCTGTAGATTTGTGCCAAATTTATAGTTTAATCTTACACAAAGTCTCTAATGTTATTACCACGCAAACCTTAATAACTACAAACTTTACAAGAAATGGTTTAATAGAGCTAACAACACATTTTCAAGCAATGCCGCTCTTGTAAGGCTTCCTTTTAAAAACTGATAATTGATTTCAGATCATACAAATTTATATCAAACAATTACAGGGAAGTATTTTACTTCACAAAGACACTGTTCTTCTGGAAGACCACGGAAGCATAACTGACTGTTGGAATTTGACAGAGGCTTTTTGATTCTGGGCCTAGAGCTTCTTACTGTAAGCTATTATTTCTAGCGTAAAACAGACGAAGCCATGGTTGATAAAAGGGTACTTGGCCTTGATATCCACTTACCCAAACTGCACCAACAAACTTGGCTGGTCACGTTTCTCTGAGAAACACAATACTATTTAATGGTATGTATATATGTATACATGTATATATTTTTTTTTAATTCTTATTTTCTGGGGGGGACTTCTTATGTGAACTGAGAAAGAATGCCCCATTTCCAGACCTTGCAGTACAAGAAAACAAAGGGGAGCAAAACAGATAATCAAAATACATCATATCCAATTAATACAAACCCCAATTATCCCAGCTACCTCTCTGTTCCATAACTACCAGGCTCACCTCAGGGGCATGACAGCTGAGGTGCCTCTGAACGGATAGTAGGACCTTATGGGCCAATACAAGCAGCACATCTCAGGGGTAAGGAAAGAAACTGATATAAGACTTGTGTGGAAGATGTGGATCATACAGGATAATGCAGGTAACAAGCCTGGCACCCAGAGAAAAGCTAAAGAATGTGAGAACATAGTTAACGTATTAAACAGATAAGCTGTGAAGATTGATGGGTCAATACCAATAGTCATTGATATGAAGAGTACAAAGGTAGCTGGACAAGCTGAGTCCCTAAAACACTCCGGTTTCGTTTCTGAGGAGTAGGGTGCAAGATTTACAAAATAATAAATACAAAAATATTTAGACAAGGACAGCTCCAGTCAGAATCACTGAAATGTTTTTAATACCAAATCCTGGAAATCCAGCAAACATCATAAGGGAGGGGTTTGAAACGCACTAAGAACACAGATATTTTAGATAAGCCAATTAGTCTTAAAATATGAATTTCTTTAAGGACTATCTTCCACAGATCTGTTATTTGTGTCTGACAAGATCTGTCGTCTGAAGAAAACCCACAGGCACTTAACTGATGTTTCAAACCTTCTCAGCAATTTAAGTGAAGTCATGGAAAGAATTCCTAATGTTATGAAGAAGAAATCTCGACAGACAATGTAAACATAAACAATTTCCCTATAGAATCT